CACCATCCCAGAAGTTCTCCAAACTTCGTTGTTCAAGAGTTTTTATTGAGGATTCATTAAGTGGTTAGCATTGATTAAGTCGATAGCCATTGGTTATTTAACTCAATTGCCAGCCTCCTCCCCTCCTGGAAGCCAGGGCATAGGGTGGGGTCCGAAAGTTCTAACCCTCTAATCACATGGTTGGTTCTTCTGCAACCAGCCCTATCCTGAAGCCACCTAGGGGGCTACTAAGAGTCACCTCATTAGCATAAACTCAGATATGGTCAAAAGGGGCTAGTTACAAAAAACAAAAGACACTCCTACCACTCAAGAAATTACAAGGATTTGGGGTGCTCTATCCCAGGAATCAGGGACAAAGACCAAAAATTTTTTTTTTATTTTACCATACCTCCTCAAATTCTACCAAAAAATAGAAGAGGAGGAAATACTTCCTAATTCATTCTATGAGGCCAGCATTACCCTTGTACCAAAGCCAGAAAAAAAATCACAAGAAAAAAAAACTATAGACCAATATCCCTTACGGATAAAAATGCAAAAACCTCAAAAAAATACTAGCTAACTGAATCCAGCAAAATATCGAAAGGATTATACCAACTGGAATTTATCCCATGAATGCAAGGCTGATTTTTATGTGAAAATCAATGAAATACAACATATTAATAGGATGAAGGAAAAAACCCACATGATCTCAATTGATGCAGAAAAAGCATTTGACAAAATCCAACATACTTTCACGATAAAAAAACAAACTCAGTGAAGTAGGAATAGAAGGGAACTTCCTCAACACGATAAAGGGCATCAAATGAATACTCTAATATTGTAATGGTGGTGTCTAATAAATCATTTATAACTCTAGCATAAGGGCTAAAAGATAAAAGTATTAAAAATAACTACAGCTACAATAATTTGTTAATGAATATACAATATAAAAATATGTAAAATGTGATGTCAAAAACATAAAATGTGGAGGGGAAAGTGTAAAAATGTAAAGCTTTTGTATATTTCAAAGTTAACTTATCAGTTTAAAATAGACCGTTATAAGATGTTTTGTGTAAGCCTCATGGTAACTACAAAACATACAGTAGATACAGAAAATTATCAAATCACAAAGGAAGAGAACAAGAGAGGAAGAAAGGAACAAAGGAACTACAAAACAGCCAGAAAAAAACAATTAACAAAATGACAAGATTAAAGCCATACCTATTAATAATTACTTTAAATCTAAATGGACTAAATTCTCCAATCAAAAGACAGAGAGTGGCTGAATGGATAAAACAACTCACTTCAGCTTTAAAGACACACATAGGCTCAAAGTGAAGGGATGGAAAAACATACTCCACGCAAATGGAAACCAAAAGAGCGCAGGGGTAGCTACACAGATAAAACAGACTTTAAGCCAAAAACTTTAAGAAACAAGGTCATTATGTAATGATAAAGGGATCAATTAATTAAGAGAATATAACAATTGTAAATATTTATGCACCCAATGTCAGAGCACCTAAATATATAAAGCAAATATTAGAAGAACTGAAGAGAGAAGCAGACAGCAATACAATAATAGTAGACTCCCATCACCGGCCTCTACTGTAGAGTGCATACCTGTGGCAATATCCTGCAGCCACGGAAGTGCACACTGACAGCCAAGGCCCCTACAGCTGCTTGTGGATCCAGATTTGGCCCTATCTCCAGGCAATGGCCAGCACCACTGGGCTCACATGCACCTAGCCCCTCCAGCTGTGCAGTTGCATGTCCCTAGCCTGAGTCCTGACACCAGCCTCCACTGCTGTCCACCTGCGGTGAGGCGTTACAGCCACAGTAGTGCACCCCGACAGCCAGGGCCCCCACAGCTGCTTGTGCGTCCAGCTCTGGCCCTGTTTCCTGTCACTGACCTGCACGACTGGGCTCACCTGCAGTTAACCCCACCAGTTGTGGACCTGCACCCAGCCAGCCAGACTCCTGTCACCAGCTTCCACTGGTGCATGCCCAATGTGAGATTCTGCAGCCACAGAGTGTATGCCAACAGCCAGGGCTCCTGTAGCTGCCAGTGCACCCTCAGTTGGCCCTGGCACTTGCTGCTGGCCCTGGCCCCCACCACTATGTGTGTATTTTTAACCAGCCCCTGCCACTACACACGCACTAGCTGCTGGCCCCTGCAGCTGAGTGTGGTACACATCACCAGCTCCAGCCACCTCTGCTGCCTGCCCTGCTCCATAGCCTCTGGACCTGGAGGCACTGCTGAGGACTCCAACAGCCCTTGCAGCCATTGTGGACCCCCCGCAGAGCTCACTAAGGACCACACAGTTGTCAATGCTACGGACCCCAGCAACCCAACCCAAAGAGACATCATGCGCCCCCGGATCCAGAGGTGCCACATGCCACTGTACTTGGCAACCTGCACCACTAGATCCAGGGTCACAACACACTCCAGCATGTTTCCATTCACAGGTGAAGGTCTTTCATTGCCAAAGTCAGTCCATAAAATCTGGAAGAGGTGACTGCTTCTTCAAAGGTGCAGACACCTACACAAGACTACCAGGATCACAAAGAATTGGAGAAACATGACACCATCAAAGGAACACAGTGAATTTCCAGTAACTGATCCCGAACAAACAGAGATAAGTGAATTGCCCTACAAAAAATTCAAAATAATTGTTCTAAAGATGATCAGAGAGCTCAAGAGAACACAGATAAAACAATTTAATGAAATCATGAAAGCAATACAAGAACAAAATGAAAAGTTCAACAAAGAGATAGAAAAAAATCCCACTCACAATAGTATCAAAAGCAATAAAATACTTAGGAATAAACTTAACTAAGGAAGTGAAAGATCTATTCACTGAAAACTATAAGACATTGATGAAAGAAATTGAATACACAAATAAATGGAAAGATATTTCACGTTCATGCATCAGAAGAGTTGTTAAAATGTCCATACTGCCCCAAACCATTCATAGATTCAATGTAATCTCCAGGTTACCAGGGGCTGAGGAGTGGGGAAAATGGAGAGAGGTTGGTAAAAAAAAGTACAAACTTTCAGTTATAAGAAGAATAAGTTCTGAGGATCTGATGTATAACATGGTGATTGTAGCTTATAACACTGTATTGTATAACTGAAATTTGCTAAGAGAGTAAATTGTAAGTGTTCTCACCCAAAAGGGGGGAGTGAGGGTGGGGCAACCATGTGAGGTGATTGATGTGTTAACTTGAATGCGGGAATCCTTTCACAATGTATACATATATCAATCATTATTTTGTACACTTTAAATATACTACAGTTTTGTCAATTATACCTCAATGAAGCTGGAGGGAAAATATTAAAGACATATAGAAATGAAAAGACATCCCATGTTTGTGGACTGTAAGATTTAATATTATTAAGATGGCAGTACTCCCCAAACTGATCTAGAGTCAATCAATCCCCAACTGACTGTTTTTGCAGAAATGAACACACTTATCCTAAAATTCATATGGACCTGCAAGAAGCCCTGGATAGCCAAAACAATCCTGAAAAAAAGAACAAAGTTTGAGATCTCACACTTCCTGATTTCAATACTTCCTACTAAGTGATAGTAATCAAGAGAGTATGGTACTGACATAAGCAAAGAGATATAAATCAGTGGAATAGAACTGAGAGTCCAGAAACAAACCCATACATCTATGTTCAATTGATGTTCAACAAATGTGCCAAGCTCATTCAACGAGGAAATAATAGTCTTTTGAATACTGCTTAAACAACCAAATAGCCACATGCAAAAGAATAAAGTTGGACTCCTATCTCACACCATATAAAAAATTAATTCAAAATGGATCAAACACCCAAATGTAAGAGCTAAAACAATAAACTCTTAGAAGAAAACATAGGAGTAAATCTTTATACCTGGATTTAGCAATGCATTCTTCAATATGACATCAAAAGAAAATATAGACAGATTGGGCTTCATCAAAATCAAAAACTTTTGAGCATCAAAGGACACTATCAAGAAAGTGAAAAGTCAACTTATAAAATGGAATAAAATAAAAAAAATTTGTTAATCAGAAAATAACAAGTGTTGGTGAGAATGGAGAAAACTGGAACCCTCACACACCGCTAGTGAGAATGTAAAATGGTACAGCTATGGAAAACAGTTTAGCAATTCCTTGAAAAGCTAACATATAATTACCATAGGACCCTGCAATTCCACTCCTACGTACATACCAAAGGGCATAGAAAACACGTCCACACAAAAACATGTAGGCAAACGTTCATAGTAGGATTATTCATAATAGCTAAAAAGTGGAAACAACCCAGTCCATCAACTGATGAATGGATAAACGAAATGTGGTATATCCAAAAATGGAATGAGATACTGATACATGACACAACACTCATGAACCGTGAAAACGTTACGCTAAGTAAAAGAAGCCAAACAGAAAAAGCCACATATTATATGATTCTATTTATCTAAAATACCCAGAATTGAAAAATCCATATAGACAGAAAGCAGGTTGGCAGTTGTCAGGAGCTGGAGGCGGGCAAGGGGTGATGAGGAGTGGCCGCTCAGTGAGCAAAAGGTTTATTTTAGGAATGATAAAAACTTTCTGGAATTAGTGGTGATGGTTGCATATCATTTTGAATGTAATAAAATCCACTGAATTCTAATACTTTAAAATGGTAAAAATGGTGAATTTTACCTCAATTTTAAAAAAAGAAAAACCCTTTGAGATGGGTAAAATGATATTCCTGCATTACAGCTGAGATTAAGAGGTCAACTCACTTGCCTAAAGTCAAATTAAAACCAAAGTTGACTGCACCTTCCAAAACCTTCCTTCTAACCCCTAAGCTATAACCAAAATAAAAACAGCTAAAATTCAACCCTAAGTTCCTAGTGGGGTTTTGCATGTTTCTATTACTTGAGGGGAGGGGGGCGTGCTTTCGGGCTGGAGGGCGGAGAGGGTGGGCCTCCAGGGGAGCAGGCGGACTTGTGGGGGAGGACGAAGGGCGAGGAGGTCTGAATACTCACCGCTGAGGACTTGCAACCGCCTCTGCCGCTGAGGGGCGCGCGTGGCCCCGGCGCGGCGCCTCCTCTCAACGCTCCCCGCAACGGCCTCGCCCGGACCCAACGCTTGGCGCGGACCCTACAAACGCGCGGCCCCGGCCTCTACCCGGTGGGCGGGAGGACGCGCCCGCGCGCCGTCTCGGGCGCTTTCCCGGCGCAGGAGCCCACGCGCCCCAATCTCCAGCCGGAACCTTCCCGTCGTCTTCCCAGCGCCTGGGACGCCCAGCCCGCGTTTCTCACGCCTCCCAAATGTTTCACCGCTTGCTCCTCCTGCCCCACCTCCCAGTCCCCCACCCCGAAAGACAGAGACTAGGAGTGAGGGGAGTGAGACACTCGCCTTGGCTGCAACATTTATGGGGAAACCAACCCAGTAATCAAGATAAATACTTTGGTCAAAATTGACTATAGTGGAACCATTTTTAAATGAAGTCGGAGCTGCTCTTCCAGAGAAACTGCCTTGCTGTTTTAAACCTTGGACTGGGCCTAACCTTTGGACTGGGTCAAAATGGCAGTTGTTGGAGAAGTCAGCAGGAGAATGGACATTCTGATCACAAGGACTGAGGAATAGAATCAATAGTCAATGAATGCTTACCCAAGACTAGCTTCTGCCTCCAACTCCAATTAAAATTCTTTGTAATACAACCTCTCTTTGCCTTTAAAGCAAAGGCAAATAGAAGCAAATAAACACCTGGCTTTCCTACTCATGTTCCTATTCCTACTTCATATCTCTTTTAGTTGGTATTTGGTTTTGCTTTTTTTCTCAAGAATAATGAACCAAATTGCTTATTTTCTTTATACCTCTGTATTTTTTAAACCCAATAAATGTTGCATAATAATAATTATAACAACACAAATAATGGGCCATAAACATTTCTGTAATCCCAGCAGCCCTGGGCATGCATTTCTAGGCGTGGTGAACTGAAGAAACAAAATTATGTAATTGAAATCAGCTTTTCCCAACCACCACAGCATCTTCTCTTTTTTGATGATATAAGAGGTTCATTTATTATGTGGCTACTCTGTGCTGAGCACTGTGCTATGTACATATTTTGACACAACCAATACACTGTCTTGTATTGTGATGTGACCATTTCCTAAGAAATACCCTATGTAGCTCCCAGCCAAAATATCAGGGGAGCACAATTTAACTAGTGGAGCTTCCTGTCTCCCAAGCTACACTCTTGCTCATCTGTTTCATCCTATACATGGGTGCAAGACCCATCTTTCTAAATGTTTAATCTCTTTGAGCATGTAATTCCTTTCCAAAGAATCACCCTTCTTAGCCCCCCGACTCCAAGAAGCATTCTGTTTTATCTCCTGGTGCTCCTAGCCTTCAGCCCCAGGTTCCAGCCCAACTCTGTCTGACAAGACACTGTTGGAGGACTACACAACATTCCTTCCACCCCTGGGCTTCTCCTGTCCTGAAATGCCCTCTTGCTCCTTCTCTGCCAATGTAGCTTAATGGTTAGGAATGGAGGTCTGAAGTCGACTTCAAGGGCAGATCCCAACTCCTCTGCTAAGGTGCTGGGTGACTTTGGACAAAGCCCTTCACCTCTCAAAGCCCCAAATAGACAGTCAGGGTAATACCACCTACCTACCACCGAGGTTGCTGTATAGTTCAATGAGATAATACACATAAAATGCGTGGTACAGTACCTGGTACACAGTAAAGATCAACAGCCTGTTGCTGTTATCACTGTTGCTGTTGTCATTATTAATGTTATTTTTGGCCTTGGTTTATTCCCCCTCCTTCATAAAACCCTTATCTAATGACCCCAGGCCAAAATAATCTCTCTCTTTTCTCTGAATTATCAAAAGCATTTACCTTTCCTATCACTGATATGGTGGCTAGAGTTTACTGCCCTGCATCGTAACCTTCCCGTGGACATATTGTCTTATTTCCTCCTCTCAGGTATAAGGCCCTTGAAGAAAAGACCTAAGTCGTTTTATGCATTTTGGCTCTGTGGGACTGCGGCTATTACATCTTGTGCTGGGAACCTCCCCTTTTCTAAAAGTGAAGGTTAGCTGAGTTAGTTAGCCTAAGAGAAAATGGTGCACTTAAAGCAATCAACGGCGGGGGATCTGGGGTGGGGGTCGGGGTGGAAGTGGGAGGGAGGTCGGGATAAGAGACTCCAGATGGGGACAGAATTGAAAGGAACATTTTTTTTAATAACTATCTCCTTTCATCTGAGATCTCCTAGCCGCAGGCAATAATATAAGAAAAAAGAGAGCCCCGCCATCGTTTGCCCCCATCTTCCCTGTCTCCTCTTTCTCAGGCAGGACGACGGAAACAGCAAATAGCGGGGTTGGTGGGGGAGGTGGAAGGGCGAGGCCAAAGCCCTTTGCAAGGAACGTGACTCCAGCTAACAACAGGAATTGCAAAAGTGGACCCAAGAATACTAACTCCCGATCCACCACCTCAACTCCAGCCCTGGGGAACCCGTGGCTGGAGGGGACCCAGCTCGCCCACCTCCGGAGATGGGGGTGGACCGAGACTGGCGTTGCTCCGCCCCCGAGCTGGGCGGTGACCCGGAGGCGGCCCCGCAGCGCCGCGCGCTCTGATATAGGGCGCAGCCCGGGGAACGCGGATCGTTGTGTCCCCGCTGAGGTTAGAAGGCAGGTGGAGAGATGAGCCGGGCGCCTGCGTTCCTCAGCGCGGCCGAGGTGCAGGACCACCTCCGCAGCTCCAGCCTCCTCATCCCGCCTCTGGAGGCAGCTCTGGCCAACTTTTCCAGCGGCCCCGATGGAGGGGTCATGCAGCCGGTGCGCACCGTGGTGCCAGTGGCCAAGCACAGGGGGTGAGTGAGGAAGGCCAGGGCCAGGGGCTGGAGAAACCGGAAAGGAGGAAGAGGAGGGGCGCGAAGGGAAGCAGCGGGGGGCGGGGTGAAAGCAAGGGGAGGCTTTGCTAATCACTGCTAATGACAGCTGCCACTTATGTGTGCGCTGCCCACTGGGCCAAGTGGGCGCTTTACGGGACTTACCTTGTTTAATAGGTAGGTATTGATGCCACTCTTTTACCGACGGGAAAACTGAGACTCAGAGGGGTGACGTCACTTACCCAATGTTACACAGAGAACTGGGGTGGCTTTTCTCATCCAGAGCCGGACTCCTGAACGTACTCTGCGTACTGCCTAAGGGAAGGGCAGAGGAATGGGGGGAAGGGAGAGGGCCAGTAGGGCAGTGACAGAGGAAAGAACTTGGGGGCTTGATAAACACCCCAGCGTTGTTGGGAAGGAGTTGAAGCTGCTCCCTCTCTCCTTGTAGCTTCCTGGGGGTCATGCCGGCCTACAGTGCAGCAGAGGACGCCCTGACCACCAAGTTGGTCACCTTCTATGAGGGCCACAGCAGCACCTCCACTGTCCCCTCACACCAGGCCACTGTGCTACTCTTTGAGCCCAGCAATGGCTCCCTTCTGGCGGTGAGCAACTCCCTGCCCTGGGGTGGAGCGGGGTCCCTGGGCCCAGAGCTAGACTCGGAAGTTAGTTCTCCATGAGCCCCTGGGGGAGTTTTGGTTGTGACCACACATACTCCTCTATAAGCAGCTGGATACCAGCAATGGTGAAGATTGTCTGTGATGGTGTATCTGTTTCTAGGACTGCCTAAGGATGCATAACCCAGCACCAGAGCCCACTGCTGCTTCAAGTGTGTGACATTGTGGAAGTAATAATCTCATCATTCTTGTATATATTCTTGTCCTATACCAGTTACTCCAAATATACAGCTTGAGCAAACCCAGTAGCCAAGGAAACGTTTATTTAGTGAATCTCTGCAACGTGGAAGAGAAGAGTGTTCCGTAATCCCTGGGAGTCTTTTCTGAGGGGTACACAGTGATCTGTTTTAACATCTAATAATAGTGACAAAAATTAGCAGTAGCCCACATTTATTCAGCCCTCTTTATGTGTCAGGCCCTGTTCTAAACACTTCACATGTATTAACTCTCTTAATCTTAGAACTACTCTATGAGGTAAGTAATGCTATTACCCCCATTTTGCAGATGAGGAAACTGAGTCGTAGAGCAACTATACCCAGCTTACCCAGATTTACATAGCTGATAAATGGCATGGCTGCGCTTCAGACCTACTCAGTGTAAGTCCAGGGCCTATACTCTCTTAAAACAAGCTCTGCTGCCTTTCTACCTGCCACTTACTGAGCGCTTATCGTGTGCCAGGCAGGAGAAATTGATCTCATTCAATCCTGACAACATTCCTCTGTGGGAGTTTTTATTACACCTCTCTCCTCCCAATTTCTAGGCCTGTCTGAGCTTGTACTGTTAACTGCTGTGCTCTGTGCCCTCCAAGCTGCCTCTGAGACCAGGCCATGGAGATGTCATCAGGGACAATCTCTAATTCTACCCAAACCTCCCTGGATCCTTAGATCCTCCTTCTCCCCTGAATTTCTGGCTCTCCAGGGAAGCTGGCTGTTTGTTACACCTCTGGGAAGAGTATCTAGCTCTTCCCAACCTACATTCATCCAATGGAGATGCCATCCATGATACCTACCAGCAGTGATTCCCCAGGAAAGTGGGACCAGCTCAGGCTTTGAAACTAAATGACAAGCCCTTAGATTCTTCCTGAATCTGCTCAGTAGCTAAGTGATTCACTTCCTCATCTATAAAATGAGAATACTGATTCTACCTGGTGAGGATCAACTGAGATGAATAACTTACAAATAGAGAAGAAGAGTGCAAAGGATGGTGGTTATTATTAGCCAAAAGTAATTCAGAATCACCAGGGGGCTTTTAAAAACAAGGATGGCTGGGTCCCACCCCTAGAGGTTCAGATTCAGTTAATCTAAAGGTCATGTCTGGACATCTGTATCTTTACAAAGCTCCCCACATGTAAGGCAGGAGTTGGAAGCCACTGAAGAATAGTTTTAGGGCCCTTGCACAGATGTCAGATGGCTTACTCTTATTCCTCAAGTTCCTCTTGAAGTTGGTGTTTTGAGAATCCCAGGGCAAGAAAAGAAAATAGGCAGTCCTTGAGGGCTCACTATGTGCTAGATGTTTTCATGTATGCCAATGCAGTTAATCCTCACGAAACCCCTCTAAA